ACACAGACACACAAACGCATGCGCACACACACACACACACGGTGGCACACACACACACATGCACACAGAGAGACAAACACCCACACACACACACGTGATACGCACGCGCACACGCGCACACACACACACACACACACACACACACACAACTCTACGACACTACTGTAATCTACTTGACAACAGTCTACGACACTCGTCTTTACTCTACGACAATCTACTCTATGATACTCTACTCAATGACACTCTACTCTCCTCTACAACACTCTCCTATACTCTACTCTTCGACACCTTACTGTACTCTACTCTACGACACTCTACTCTACAACACTCTACTCTACAACACTCTACTCTACAACACTCTACTCTATTCAATGACACTCTACGACACTCTATGACACTCTACGACTTTCTACTCTACTCTACGACACCCTACGACTTTCTACTCTACTCTACTCTACTTTACGTTACACTACTCTACACTACGACACTTTACGTCAGTCTACGACACTCTACGAAACTTTACTCCACTCTACTCTACTCCACTCTACTCCACTCTACTCCAGCCTACAATACGACACTCTACTCTACTTTACTCTACTCTACTCTACTCTACTGAGTCTACTCTATTACACTCTACTCTACTCTGCGACACTTTACTTTACACTAATTTACTCTACTCTGCAAAACTCTACTTTACTCTACCCTACTCTACGACAATCTACACTACGATACTTTATTGTACACTACGACACTATACTCTCCTCTGCAACACTCTATTGTAATCTACTCTATGACATTCTATGAACCTCTACTCGACTCTATGACACTCTACTCTACTCTACTTTACTCTACGACACTCTATGACACTGTACTCTACACTATAACACTCTACTGTACTTTACTCTACCATACTCTACTCTAATCTACTATACTCTACAATACAACACTTTACTCTACGACACTCTACTCTACCCTACGACACTTTACTCTACGACACTCTACAACACTCTACTCTACAACACTCTATTGTACTCTACAACACTCTACTCTACTCTACAACACTCCACTCTACTCTACAACACTCTACTCTACTCTACAACACTCTACTCTACGACACTCTAGGACACTCTACTACACTGTTCTATATTCCACTCTATGACACTATACTTTATTCCACTTTACAACACTCTACTCTACTCTACTCTACTCTACTCTACTCTACTCTATGACATTCTACTCTACTCTACTCTACTACGCTTTAGTCTACACTGCGACACTCTACTCTACTCTATGACACTCTACGACACTCTACGACAATGCATGACACTACTCTACTCCACTCTACTTTACAACATTCTACGACACTCTACTCTACGGCACTCTACTCTACTCTACTATGCGGCACTCTACTCTGCTCTACTCTACTCTACTCTTCTCTATGCTACTATACTCCACTCCACTCCACTCCACTCTACTCTACTCCACTCCATTCTAATCCACTCTACTCTACTCTACATCACTCTCCTCTACTCTACGACACTCTATACACTCTACTCTACTCTACTCGACGACACTCCACTCTACGACACTCTACTATACTTTATGACACTTTACTCTACTATACTCTACTCTATGATAGACACTTTACTCTACTCTACTCTACTCCACTCTACTCCACCCTACAATACGACACTCTACAACACCCTACAACACACTTTTCTACTCTACGACACTCCACAACACTCTACGACACTCTGCTCTACTTTATGATACTCTACGACACTTCACGACACTCTACGACACTATACTCTACTCCGTGACAATCTGCTTTACTCTACTCTACTCTACTCTTCTCTACGCTACTATACTCTACTCTACGCTACTATACTCTACCCCTCCACTCCACTCTACTCAACTCCACTCCATTCTACTCCACTCCACTCTACAACACTCTCCTCTACTCCACGACACTCTACTCTACTATACTTTATGACACTTTACTACACTCTACTCTACTTTATGATACGACACTTTACTCTACTCTACTCTACTCCACCCTACAATACGACACTCTTTTCTACTCTACGACACTCCACAACACTCTACGATACTCTACTCTCATCTGCAACACTACTTTACGACACTCTACGACACTCTACAACACTCTACTCTACTCTCCTCTACTCTCCTCTACAACACTCTAGGACACTCTACTCTACTTTACGACATTGTATTATATTCCACTCCACTCTACTTTACTCTACTTTACTCTACTCTACGACACTCTAGGACACTCTATAACACTTTACTCTACTCTACTCCATGACACTACTCCACTCTACTCTACGACACTACTCTACTCTACTATACTATACTATACCCTACATCACTCTACTCTACTCTACTCTACTCCACTCTACTCTACTCTACTCTACTCTACTCTACTCTACCATGTGTACTCTACTCTTCGATACTCTACAACACTACTCTACTCTACTCCACTTCATTCTACTCCACTCCACTCTACAACACTCTCCTCTACTCTACGACACTCTACTCTACTATACTTTATGACACTTTACTACACTCTACTCTACTTTATCATACGACACTTTACTCTACTCTACTTTACTCCACCCTATGATACGACACTCTTTTCTACTCTACGACACTCTACTTTACTCTTCAACACTACTTTATGACATACTCTACTCCACTCTACTCCACCCTACAATACGACACTCTACAACACCCTACAACACTCTTTTCTACTCTACGACACTCCACAACACTCTACGACACTCTACTCTACTCTACAACACTACTTTACGACACTCTACGACACTCTACAACACTACTCTACAACACTCTACTCTACTCTCCTCTACTCTACTCTACGACACTCTAGGACACTCTACTCTACTTTACGACATTGTACTCTATTCCACTCCACTCTACTCTACTTTACTCCACTCTACTCTACTCTAGGACACTCTATAACACCTTACTCTACTCTACTCCACGACACTACTCCACTCTACTCTACGACACTCTACGACACTCTACGACACTCTACTATACTTTACCCTACACTCTACTCCACTCTACGACACTACTATATTGTACGATACTCTACTCTACTCTACGACACTCTACGACACTCTACGACACTTATGACACTCTACTCTGCAACACTTTACTCTACTCTATGCAACTCTCCTCTACCACACTTTACTCTACGACACTCTACTGTACTCTTCTCTACTCTACTCTACTTTACTCTACTCTACTCTCCTGTTCGAGACTCTACTGTAATCTACTCGACTGTACTTTACTCCACTCTATACCACTCTACTCTACTTTACGATCCTCTACTCTACGACACTACTCTCATCTACGACACTCTATTGTACTCTACTCTACGACACTCTATGACACTCTACTCTATGACAACACACTACTCTACGACACTCTACTCTACTCTATGACAACATACTACTCTACGACTCTCTACTCTACAGCACTCTACTCTACGACACTTCACCCCACGACATTCTACTCTACTCTACTCTACTCACTGTACTCTACTATACTACACTCTACTCTACTCTACGACACTCTACGCCATTCTACTCTACTCTACTCGATGACACTCTACTCTATTGTACGACACTCTACGACACTCTACGACACAACACTCTATGACACTCTCCTCTACTCTACTCTACTCTCTTCTGCTGTACTCTACCCTATGACACTCTCTACAACACTACTCTATGACACTCTACGACACTCTATGACACTCTACGACAATTTATTCTACTCTATGAAACTCTACTCTAGTCTATGACACTCTACGGCACTCTCCTCTCCTCTATGGTACTTTCTTTACCATTTCGATAGTTTTGGTTGCGGACGTAGCCCGCACCGCCCGCACCACGGGCCCTAAGCTTTTCGTCAATTAAACTCAGACTTCGTAGCGAGTTTTAGGCTATTCTTTATTACCCTGTGATTTGTTTTTTTTGTTTTTCTTTAAGTCTGTCTCAGTTTATGCGAGTGGTCTGTGTCAGGTCGCCTACAACATTTCTATCTCTGTGGGCATGGCCCGCACCGCCCGCACCGCGGGCGCTTAGCTAGTATTGTATTATACATATGAAAAAAAAGAGATAAGGTATAGACTGAACATCGGGGGTGAGCTGGGTACCTTCACAAACAGAGTCCCCAATGAACCAGGATGCATAAGACTGCTTGAACCAGTGCAACTCCTGCAGCTTTGCATTCAGCAGCATGTAGCAGGCTTTGGCACCTAAGTTTCAGACCAAAACAAACAGCAGAGTGTCACCACAACAAAAAAGGAGGGAAAAAAAAAAAAGAGTAAAAAAAACAGTGAAAGAGGATGTGTAAGGAGTATTGACGGAAAGCAAAAGAACGAAAAAAGAAATGCCGCAACAGAAGTGAAAGGGATAGAAGAAAGAAAAAGAACCTCTTTCTCTTGATGGCCAGATCCCCCCCGACCCTTATAGCCTCTATCCACACATCACAGGGTTAGGGCTTTAGGGCCCACTGGGGGCCCAGCAAGTCAAACCTGACCACTGACCTGTGTTAACCCGTGTGGGGCAGGAGCCTTGACGCAGTTTTCTGGCCAAACCTGACCACCACCCTGTGTTAACCCGTGTGCGGGCAGGAGACTTCACGAAGTTTTGGCCAAACCTGACCACCGCCCTGTGTTAACCCCTGTCAGTGCAGGAGCCTTGACAGCAGTTTTCTGGCCAGACCCGACCACCACTTGTTAACCGGGTATGTACCGTTCAGTCAAACCTGACCACCAACGTGACTAAACCTGACCACCACTTGTTGACCGGGAATGTTCCGTTCAGCCAAACCGGATCACCACTGGTTAGCTGGGCATGTAACGCTAAACGGTATATGGCAAACCTCAATTTTGCCCGACCCTGGAAATGCCCAATGTAGTTTTGCCCAGCCTTTGGGCATGCAGAAAGATCAGCTTAAACCACCTTTGTGATCAACGATGTTCTGCCAAAGCTCAATTTTCCCTGATCCTTGGAATGCCTTACCTCAACTTAAACAGTATCCTACACGCATCACTTTCATGGTGGTGTTGTCGTTGTTTTTTTTTTTTTTTTTTTTTTTTTTACTACCCTATATTCATCTCTCATCATATCTCTCCCTCCCTGCCTATCTACTCCTAGTCAAATTTTCGGTTTTCAGTGAAGCGTATCAATGTATAAAGCCGGACGGCCCTTGGAGTTAGAGTTATAGGTTGATACCGGCCTCAATTCTGCTCTGTGCGGAGAGCAGCACCGAAGCTCCTAGCCTGCCATAGGCCGGAAAGTGATCTGCTATCACTTCCACAACCAGCCAAGAGGCCCAAGCCAACCATCTCTGCTGGTGAACCCGAAGCATACCCCAGGAGGCCGTGGGAATCGGAAGGACGACTCTGGGCATCGAACCCACGACCTCCTGAGTTCCACTTACGTGCTCAACCAACTGAGCTAGCCCACTTGGGCTTCTTGTGTTTTTTTTTTTTTCTTACAATTTAAAATTTGGACCATTTCTCGATTTATGTGTGTCATCCTTGCACAGGGGCCATGCTAATCTCCTCTGTATCATTCCCATTTTAGCGGATGTCACGAAGGACACTATCCTGTTGTTGTGCAAATAGAAGAAAAAAGAAAAGCCTTCAAAATCAAAGAACTAAATGAAGCTAGACACCACCAATACTGGAACTTGCCAAAGCTCTCAATGAGCCAAAAATAGCCATGGACTTGGATCAACTGACCCCCAAATACAAGGAGGACTAAGATGAAAACGAACCGAACTGAGTCCGGAAAAGCTTCTCTGAGACAAGCTGACACTTTTTAGTTCTTCGGGACACTCGTTAAAATTGGGACGATACCGAGAAGAACATTGGCATGGCTCCTGCTCAAGAACGACACGCATAAATCAAGAAACAGTCCACATTATTTATATATATAAAAAAAAACGACAGTTTATAGCCTACCATCTCCCGAACACAGCGCACCCTGATTTTGAATGCATACCAGGGAACTTTCCTGTCCCATACAGCCAAAATTAAGGTGCTTGTGTAGACGGTACGTACTAAGATGGCTCCAGGAGCCGTTTGCAGGATGGGTCTGACAACGGGTCCCAACCCACCGGAACGGGTTCACGACAATCCCTTGTTTTAAAACATACCAGGTTCAGTGATGGGTTTGAGAACGGATTCGGGAACGCGAACGGGTATACAAACAGTTCGCAGGACCAGGTTCGGGAATAAGTTTAGGAACAGGTTCGGCAGCCAGTTTCAGAGGAGGGTACAGGACTCGTCTATCAGAATGACAAGGCAACATATGAGAACCAAACAAGAGCCTTCGTGTTCGATTTTCGCAATTAACAAGTACGGACGCTGAGATGTTGTGAGGATCGCCAGCCCTACCTACAGGGCCTGCACCCAACTACTTCGCAGCTGTGGCCCTGTCCCTGGCATACTACAAAAAAAGAGGGTTACTGGCACATTCTTAGGGGACAAGTAGGGAAAGCGAACACGTTGGGGGAGGTGCCAATACCAGAATGGATAGACTTAAGCGCCTATATCTGGATGTGTTTTGTGTCGAGATGCAGAAAGGCAGATCAATCGCGATTTTCTGCACCTCTCCACAAACTCGTCCAGATTACACTAAATCCCGCGGGACAACGCCCCTTGAGACAAAGATGTTCAAAAGCCAACCGAAGGGGAAAACGACAAAACACATAATCGAAGTCACAAAAAAAGCCCTTCGCGACATCCGTTAAAATTGGAACGATACAGAGATGATTAGCATGGCCCCTGCTCAAGGATGACACGCACAAATCGAGAGATGGTCCAATTTTTTACACAGAAGTAAAAAACAAAAATAAAATCACGAAAGCCAGCACTTTTGTCTTTTTTTTTTTTTTTTTAAAGGTAAGCTATATTCTTCTCTCATCTATCTCATTTTTCTTGATAGTACGCATCCATCTCATCCTCTCACTATTCTATATATAGTATGGGGGAACACCAACCAACCCGGATCCCTCCCCAGCCCACAGGGTAGGTTGGCACCACAGCTGTGGTGCGAGGGCAAGGCTGTACCAGTCCCTCATCACGGTGACGAGGGGTGGGCAGGCATTGCCGATGGGGGGAAATCGGCAGTGCTAGCGGCGAGCAATGGCCAGTCACTGCACCTCCCCCTACCCCCCCCCAACCCCACATGGCGGTGTCTAATGGCCAATATTGTCGCTGCATAGCAGCCAACAACATCAGCCAAGGTCCTGCCAATGCTGGCTTGGGGGGCCGACGGGTTATCTCTAGCTGGTAGAACACCAAGCTTGCCCAGGCACATCGTGAGGCCAATGGGGATTGAACCCACGACCTCCTGAATGCAACTTCTGTGCCTTACCAACTGAGCTAGGCCCGCAGGCCTCACTTTTGTCTTTTTCCCCCTGGTTGCAAACGACATGGGACCTCGCTCCACTACTCACTACACGCACAAAAGACAAAAAATCTAGCGATGCATCATTCCATGTTATAGCGGAAGATCATTCTCATTTTGCACACCGGGTGAGTAGTTGAGCGAGGCCCGTAAAATCCAAACACCCAATTGCCATTCCAATCAACTACGGGACCGAGTGCCACAGCCGGGCCCGCATTTGCTTTTTGCCATATTCATTTTCTCAACTGGCAGGACTTGCTCTTCTTCTAGCTATGAATGCAATCTATCCCCGGGGCCATGTCCCACTTGCAGCGTTGAGTAAGTTCAACGCTGAGTTTTCTATCACGTGTGACCTGGGGCGACCCAGGAGATGAGTTCTCTCACCGTCCATCGGGCGGTCGGATTTTCAGGAAAAAAGGAAAATGAAAGTTGGATTGCTTTTCTTCAGTAGGATAATCGAATGAAAATCGATCTTCCCGAGTACAACGCCCCCTACCCTAGCCCAGCTCCGAATACTTAGGAGAGTTTCCCTCGGAGGAGATTCGTCTTCTCTTTTTTATTTTCTAGAAAATATGGACAAAAGCAGATTGCCCCACTTTCTTTCTCCATTTTACATTTGAGAAAATATGGAAAAAAGCGTTCAGCAGCATTTGATTTTTTTTTCAGCACCAGTGTTGAATTTTCAATTTGCGATAACTGTGTCACACCGTTGAGCTAGCTCAACTCAGCGGTGTAAGTGGGACATGGCCCCTGGGTGTAATTGTGAGGTCCCCGGCCTCAAAGCTTGCTTTTGGAATACACAAAGACAATTTCGTTTAAATAAAAAAAAAAGAAAAGAAAAAAAAAACAGTCTAGCAACAAACGGTAACGCACTAATCAAAAGAGAACTTCGGCGAATCCGACAGGTCACAACACAGAGCTTCCGACTGTAGTCCTGCCACAACAATGTGACTCGCTCCACTACTCACCACATGCATAAAAGACAAAAATTATGCCGGTGTATATTTCCATGTCTAGCGGACGAGTCATCGTCATTCTGCACATTTGGTGAGTAGTGGAGCGAGGCAATATCACAAACACAGAGAGGGATTGTAAATCGTAGTTCCGGCGGGCCACCACAGAGGTACATCGCGATGACTGTTTTCATTCATCGCCATGCAATCCTCGACCTCAAGGGAAGCCTGGCTGGCTTAAGGGTTCAGACTCCAGAGGAGAAGGAGGAGGAGGAGGAGGAGGAGGAGGAGAGAGGGGGAGATGAGGGAAAGAGGGAAAGAGGGGAGACCAAGGAGGAGAATTTGCACCTGTTTTTGGATGCCGAAGATGAAACACGTGGCCATCCAAATCATGTGTAGAACACTCTTGTTCTCCGCTCGTCTTGTTCACCAAACCTATGCCAGGTCAACGCCGCCATTCATCATCCTTATCATCATCATATCATCACCAGCATCTTTTCATACACGTCTTCTCCTCTTCTACTCAATCCATTCGCCTTGGTGTCCAGAATTCAACATCAGTACCTCCATCATCATGGTCGTCGTCACCATCATTGTCATTCACACCATACGCAGCGGACAAAAAGTTAACCAAATCGTCTTTGAGGTTCGTTCCTGACTACAAAGGACACAAATTCAGGTACTTTTCAAGTAAGAATTGGGGTGCAACCTTTCAATTTCGACGTTTATTCGATCTCAAACATTTCATGAGTTACAACCTTTGGATCTCAGCATTCACTCCCTCTGGATCATCATCAACATCGTCATCATCATCATCAGCAGCAGCAGCAGCCACATTGGCATTCAGATCATCATCCCCTTCGTCGTCGCGTCGTCGTCATCATCACCACCACCACCACCACCACCATCATCATCATCATCATCATCATCATCATCATCATCATCATCGTCATCGTCATTATCATCATCACTACTCCCTCTGATCTCCACATCTCATTTCCTTTGGATCATCATCAGCATCACCTCATGAAGGAATGCAACAGCGGCAATCGCAGTGGTATTCAGATGATCCCCATTGCCATCCCTATCATCACCGTCAGCACCACCACCACCATCATCATCATCATCATCACCATCGTCATCATCATGGACATCTCAGTAGGGACCCATTTTCATCATCAACATCATCATAGATAATCGTCCCAGTAGGGACCCATCATGGTCATCACCATAATCATCAACGTCGTCATCATCATTATCATCATCATTATCATCATCATCATCATCATCATCATCATCATCACCGGCATCATCATCAACACATCACTATCGTCGTCCAAGAACATCGAAGAACAGCAACATTATGACCACCAATGTACTTACCCGCACCTGTGTATCCTTGTCTCCCGTCTGATTATCCGCCGCTTAATCTTCCCCCTCTAACACCGTCGTCATCCTTACAGGTGTTCCCGCCGTCATCATATTCAATCTCTCCGGGTGGGCTCACAGAGAATAAATCCATGTTTCACAGGTACATTAAATGAAAAGGGGGAGGAGGGAAGGAGGGGAGGAAGGGAGGAGGGAGACGAGGGAAGGAGGGAAGGAGGGAAGGAGGGGCCAGCGCAGAGTGAAGACATGAATGAGAAAAAGGGAAAGGAAAAGATGAGGATTTTTTTTTTTGAAGTTTTACAGAATTACAGTTCCAAAAACAACAAATGGGGAGCACACGGACCTGGTGACGACGTACAAAGAACACAAGGATCCGGACCACCGTCGTTGATGCAAGAAGGATCGGGGCAGAGCGGAGAATCAAGGAGAAGGAGAAGAAAAGGGACCAGAAGAATGACCAGCAGAATAGAAAGAAGAAGAGTAGGAGAGTCGAAGAGTAGAAGAAGAACAAGAACAGACGTGGTGCCGGATTGTTTCGTCGGACTTCACCGGCGCATCAGGAGCTTGAACCCTGGCAGTCGATCTGGGTGCACCACACCGCATCGCCGGGGTTAGCGGAACCCCGGTGCGCGAGGAAATGGAGGAGCAGGGCGCAGCACGCGAGAGCTGCACGTGCGTGCCCATGTGTAAGAGAGAGAGAGAGAGGGAGGGGGCAGCATGAACGGTCGGGCGCTTGCCTCTTGCGAGCGACGAACCTGACCGGCTTTTGCAGCCGGTTCATGCCTTGTCGTTCTTTTCTTGCGTTTCGGTTCTTTTCCGTTCGTTTTGCGGCCCTCCTCTCTCTCTCTCTCTCTCTCTCTCTCTCTCTCTCTCTCTCTCTCTCTCTCTCTCTCTCTCTCCTTTTTTCTTGCTTCGTCTATCTTTTTAGCCTCTTTCTATAGTCTACGTTGCTCGTTCTCCGGGAGTCTCATCGAGCAAGCGGCCGTTCTCTGATCACTTCCGTTCCTCGGGAGAGGAAACGTTGTTTTGGCGAGGAGGAGAGGCGAAGTAGAGATGCATAGCCGACAATGCCATGGTTCCACCTTACCGGTGTATGCGATGACTACGCGGCGTTCCATAATTGCCGCCATTTTCTCCCCTCTACGCACTGAAACGATGGCTGATCTAACAGATCAGCTTTCTGTAATGAGACCTTGCCCGCCAGGATAGCTAGGACGAGATCAATATCACGATCGTTTGTCGATAGGCTGATCAATTGAAGAAACAACAAAAAAGCGCCTTAGACGCCCGCGCCACCTGCTGCGCGCGATCGACCGAAAGTTGCCAAAGGTGACATTCACTCGAACGGGTTACGAATCGGGACGATCGACACCGAGTCGAGACTGTAACGCAGTTTCAAACCCGATCTCCAAGATCTCTTCACAATCGATCTGATAGCGATCCGCATGTCACGGCTTCCCAGCCTTCAGGTGTCCGAAATGGGCTTTGAGTCTTCGGCGACTACCTACATTCCCGCACGAGTCCTCTCGGACAACAGTTAAAATTGGAGCAATACATGCAGAGACGATTAGCAGACGATTAGCATGGCCTCTGTCGTATAGCGGGAGGGCCATATTTATTGGGAAATGTGGTCGACTTTTACCGTGGTGTAGTTGGAGTCCAGCGGTGCAAGGGAAGTGTGCAGTCCTTGTCATGAGACCGACCAGTCAGCATAGGGTCCGACCCCACTGCGGTGCCGATGGAAAAGACGTGTGGCCACGAAAAGCGGGCAAGTCATTTTGGAAAGTCGGAAAGTACTTTTTCCGGGACCCCATCGCAAAGGACCAAATGCGCTTGGAAACCCCTGTGGAAATCAATTGAGCCAATCCTTGCATGTTTCCGTTGGCACTCGTTTGTTTTGTTCTTTTTTCCTTTTTTTTTTTTTTTTTTTTT